ATTCTCTTAACATTGTGGGGTTTCTTGGGCTTTGGTGGATCCACTGGTTTTGGCTTGTCATTCTCTACCATGATCACCTGTTCCGGCTCAGGATTTTGAAGAGGTTTTCTCTCATCAGTTTTGATTGCCTCTTCCCATGTTCTAGACTGAGGTGGTTTTTGATCTTCCTTCACTACAATCATCATTTCCACAGCTTGTGTGGGCTTTTCTGGTCGACTTTCCTCCTTTTCAATCTTCACCAATTCAGGGGGTGTATTGTGAACAGGATTAGGACATTCTAACTGTTTAACTGTAGATGGCCCTTCGCAATGTTTTTCTTTGTTTTGATTATTCGAAAATAGATGTGGTAAGTTAGGCCACCACAGATTTGAAACTGTGTGAAGAAACCCATCCTTAGCAATCTTCCCGCTAACACAAGTATTTCCCATATTAGCTCCTACTATTGACTCGCAAAACCCATCAAATTCCCCGGAAAAAAGAATTCAATCTCTTGAAGATTCACCCAACTGTGAAACCCATAATATTATCAGTCACAGAGCTTGATGATTTGAAAAGTACTAAAGAAATCAATGCAAATAATGTTTTGTCAATAATTTTAGGAACTTACCAAAAATCAATTCAAATCATTTCCTATTACCTTTTTTATAAACACTTTAACAATAAAAGCACGCTCCAATTATTAATGGAAAGGGCAATGTAAACAAATCACAAAATATATTCCCGACCCTTCTTCGAAATTTGATTCATATAAATATAATCTATATGATCAAGAAAATTTCAAAGATAAAAAGCACGCAGAATCTACCAAATATGATAAAACAATTAGGGCCGTGGATAGAATGATTGCGTACGAACAGGTTTTTGTTTACCAAGTCCATCTCTCTAAATTTATATCATGTTAAATCTTGATTTTGATTCTGAATTTCAATCTCTCCCCCTTTGTTGAAATAAACGCCAGGGGGAAAAACGGAAATAGAGAAATCGACAGGTTTTTCTGTTAGAAATTTGTATTTTTCCCAACTCTAAAACGTGTTTAGTACAGCGTTTGTTTGTTTATTTGTTTGTTAGCAATAACTACAATTATGGTCTTCTTGAAGAATAATTTCATAATATAAAGTCATCTTAGCCAACTTCGTCTAAATGCTCTAACTTAACAAAACACACTTCAAAAATTATTAAAATATGTACAAAAATAACTTAATTTCAAAAATCGCTTATGATCTTTTAAAAGCTCCGTCAAAGAGACCCTTAAAAGTGTTCTAAGCGTGAAAATCTTGTTATTTAAAAAGAGAAAATATATGTAATTTACTCAAAGCTTAATGAATAATGTTATTCATAGTAAGGATTACCGGTAATCGTTGATATATATGTGACGTATATATGACAATTTATTATTTGATGGTCGCAATATTGCATCAAATAAACCATATGTATATCACACAAAATGACTATCTATAGTTTTCACTATAAATAATATTATTCAATTTTAATAGAAGAGAATTTTTTACATTACACCCCTCGGTGGTCCATATATATGGAAAACTAGATGTTTCGAAATCAAAATAATCTTTTTAAGAACAAAAATCATTTAAATATATAAAAGTTACCTGTTTTTCGATTTTTATTTTTTGTTTTTTTAATTTTTTTTGAGAAATTCTGCGGGAAAATAAACATACGTGACCATGACCCCTGATCGTGCCTTGCACGAACGGACGTGACAGAAGAAGATAAGCCTTTGAACGAATCTTCAATAGCATTACCAATATTATAATGTAAATAAACCGGCAGGAATAAAGTACTTAAAATTAGGCCTTGACAGCTGCCATTTGCCGGCAAGCACCGGCCGGACAATAATTTTTCAGCTGGTAGTCGTTCCGCGTCCTATACAGGCCAAAACTTTATTATTAAATAAGGTAAATTTTAGTTCTAGTAGTTGTATTAGAAAGTAACATGGTAACTAGGTCCTACGTTTATTAGCAAAATGTACAGTGCGAAAAATTCATAGCTTTGCCTCAAACATCTCTAGCCAATCCAGAAAGATCAACATCACCATTGGAATTTTTCTCAGGAAGAACCTCTTTCGGAGGGTAAGCTTCAACGGGAATTCCACGCTTATTGCAAGAGGATGAAGACTCATCATCAAATATGCGAGGAACCGCTATTGTACTAAAAAAATCATTCTTCATCTCTTCGGCTGCTTCAAAGAAACGGTTAATACCGCCAAAGAAACTACGTTCAATGGCTTCAATATCACCACGTAAACCAGGAAAGTGAAAGGGTCCCTGCTCGGATGATTCCAATGGGATCCCTTTAACAACATGGTCTGTTACATCTTCCTCGGTGTATTCTTTGTTAGACTGTACCATCTCACTAGGCCTGAGATGAGAAGAATATGATTTAGATTATATACGACAGTTTTTGCAAGGCAACCATATATTTTGACATAAATCCTGGATGATAGACCTAACTAAATATAACAAACTCGTCAGGGATCTGTACAAAAATATAAAAGCAAACGCAGTCCACAAAAACATAAAGAGAAAATTAAAAGCAGTTGGTAAAATCAAATCTCTTAACAAAAAGAAAGAAAGAAATAGGAGAGAGGGGGTATTACATGTATAGGCCCATATGTTTGTTCAAGTCATTAGAATTATAATGCAGAATCTTCGAAATTCTGGGAGGCAACAAACTGTGCCAATCCCTCAGTTTGATGCTTCGCATAATGGTTAAATTTCACAGCCAGAAAGAAGCATCTAGTCCATTCTAGTATTGCCAAAAATGAGTTTCTTTTACTTTAGACAGACATTAAGATAGAAGGGTGCAATCAATAGCTTGAGGTTCAAGTTTAGGATTTGTATTGTTGAAATCTATACATAGATGAATGAGAAATATCTACGTGGCACCATCAAATAAAGCATTCATCTCCAGGATGTTTTTCGTTCTATAAAGTGATTATTGGCTCCCTACTGTCAAGTCTCATGTACTCTCAAAACCAAAAAACATTTCCAGATGTTGCAATCAAATAGTAACCCAGTACAGTTCAAGCAAGATATATGAGAAATTAGATATCAAAAGGCAGCAAATTCCAGTGGATAGATACAAGAGGCGGCACCAAAAAATTCCACAAGGCTAAAAAGGTCTATAGATGAAGAATTAGGTTAAATCTTTTCAGCTTGACCATACCAACATTTTTCAGCAAATGACTGCAAATTTATAGGTATCCTGTTCATCCCCAATATCAAGTCTTGCATCCATGCTATCTAGTTGTCTCCAACATTTGTGCTCAATTGGCATTTGGCATACGTAAAAGTATTCTGTTCGGTTCTCTTCCAACATATGTACACTATTGTCAAGTAGTATTTATGGATATTAACCCATTTAATACAATCGTTCTACAGTTCTTGACAGCTATGTGTCTGGCAAAATTATGACAGCACATTGCTTCCAGAACAAGCCTACTTCAAAACATTACTGAGCTTCTAGTTTCCCGAATGTCTGTATGGTCTTCACCAAAAATTAGATGTAACTTCAGCTATGTTTTCTTCTCTCTGTTACTAACATGATATCACTTACTTAACTATAGTAAGTTGTATGCCATTCTCATTAGTATTGCCCAGAATAAACCATACATCAGATGCATATTTAGAGGGGTCAAGAACATAGTTATTTTCTGCTTCTTCTTGAGAAACTCCAAGACAACCGCTAAAAAGGCCAAAATGAAAATATACAGACATTACCATTTTTGCATGATCATATGTATACAATTATCCTTTCGTCCCAATTATTCACGAGTACAATCATATGCACTTTTCTAAATCTTACTTGGATTCAAATATTATGCTGATATCTTATATTGTTAAATACTTCGTTCACGTGTTCAGAGCAGATCTTCTATTCTAGTGTTTGCTTTCCACAAATTAGATAGAAAGTGTTTGTAAATAGTTTTAGCAATAAGTATCAATAAGACAAGACTTCTCCTCTCCAACAACCCTTAACAGCACCACAATCTTCTTCTTTTTTCCAGCTAAAATTCATATAATATCACTTCCAATTTTTTACAGTCAAACATATAAGCATATATTTTGAGGAACATAAATTACAGTAACTGATTAAAAGAAAACCATCCCAAATTTCCTAAAACCTTATCCAAGCAGATTAAACAACTAAATATCCTATTGGCAAAGAAGTACATATATCGGAGAAAGCCCGCTTTCAAGCCAAAAATTTTCTGCTCCCATTGGCGGCTCAACATCAATTTTGTCCAACTATCATAACAAGGGCATTTGTTAACAAGCCCTCCTAATGGCTCTTTGTCCGATTCCACTCCTATTTCCTGCTCTTAAGCCAAATATTTGCTAGCTCAAAAAATATATAAAATCATCACTTCCTCTCATAATCTCATATTTACAACTTACAAGGAAATCAAATAACAACACAAAACACGAACATAAATATATGCAGAAATCATATTTTGGGATTTCTAATTCAATTTAGATCAAATATACCTTCCCACGCAGTCTTTGAATATCTTCTCGGTTTTCTCGCACTTACGAATGAATTTCCCCGGCTCAACTTCCTCAGTCCGGCACTGAGACGAGACAATTCTTCGGGTGGCGCAGCGATCGCCATTACCGTCATCTCTAGGGTTTAATGAGCCGTTAAACTCGCCGCTATCACCAGCGGATGATGAAATAGAGTCAGATTCGTCGTCATTCTTCCACACCCAACCCATTGTCGATTTTGTGCTGTGAAATATGCGACGCAAAAATTTTCCCTTGCAATTTGTGAATTTATGTAATTTTATGCTTTGAGGACATTCCAGAAACTTTTCAAAGACGGTGCCTTTTTACTTGGGTAAATTATTTATTCGGTAATTAGAGCAAGATACTTAGCCCGTGTGACAATAAGGGTGTGTTTCGTTACATTTATTTTCTGTGGAAAATATTAGTTTTTCATCCAAATTTTCACTTGGAGCGTTTGATTGCTATTTTTTTTCATGGAAAATATTTTCCAACTTTTGAAAATATGTCTAATTTTCCTTATTTTTAAGGAAAATATTTTCCTTGGGTAGAGGTGGTTTTTATTTTGCACAAAAGATGGAAAATATTTTCTTTTCTAGGTAATATTTTCCATGTCAATCAAACACACTCTAATTCTATTTGTACGATGTTATGTACAATCTAGTTGACAATGGACTAGATTGTACAAAATATTGTACATCTAGCACAACTTGTAACGAGAAATACTTTGGTACTGCACTGCCCAATGTCGAGCGCCAGGTGGGCCACCCATCAAGGTGGCCAACCCTTATAATACAGTCGCACCTATTTAAGAGTCCATTTTTATTTTTATTTATTATTATTATTTTTTGGGTTAAAAAATGAGTTTTTGAATAATAATTTTTTTAAGAATGTGCTGTTAAAAAATATAAAAAAAATAAATTTACATGAAAAATATTTTATTATGAAAATGTGTAGTTGAAATTAATTTTAAAAAAAAAAAGAGTTTTAAAAAAATGGTAATCAACCCTCAAATAAGGGCTTAGTTGAGCATCACTTAATTTAGCTATAACCAGACCACAATTTTAAAAAAAAAAATTCAATAAATACACCGCAATAAATTTAAGATTATAGTCCTAACCCAATAAACTATATATATCCCAATTTTACTTATTATTTTTCTCATCGTTTTCACCCATTCTGAATATTTTGAAAGACACAAACATTATGGATTTCCTTTCCATAATGGTGAAACAATTAAATATTTTGTGTGATTTATGTATTAAAACCCAATTTACGTAATCTTACTTAAAAACCACTTAAGTAAAAAAAAAATGCTGAAAAGTATAGTGTAACTAACAAAATTCATAGTAAAAGCATAATTACCCCATAATTTATTGACAAAGTGTCCGAATTTAAGGTTCATTATAAAGAATTGGTAGAACATTTGTAAGTTTTGGAACAAAATGGATGAAAATATCAGTTACCCATTATAACCTTAGTTCCAAGTGTAGCAGTAATGAATCTGTATCCCGTGGAGTGGCGAAGGGAGGACCCAATTGGTAGTGGTTCTAAATTTATTTGCTCCTATGGAATGAAAACCTGTCTCGTCAGTATCTTCATATCGCCTATGCAATCTCGTTTTCGGAAAGATCAAAATAGCCAAATGATATCAAAGGCATTTATGTCATCTTACATTACTAGTCGATAGCACGTGCGTTGCACGATTATTGTATTTAATCTGCCTTTATTAGCGTGGTGTAGAGATATTTTAGTTTTTTTGGCTGATTATGCTTTCGAAGTTTGGAGTAAATGTTTTGGCATCAATCTTCTTTGGTAGTTTAGTAAAAATTAGATTTAAGTGGAAATATAAGTAAAAGTTAATTTATAATTTTGCTTTAGTAAAGAATAATTTAATTTTCTTTTTCCTTTCTTCTAACCAACTTTTCTTTAGATTATTTTATTAATTTCTTACATTGAAAATTGAAAACATGTTAAATGTAATGAGAGAATTTTATGAATTAAAATGTTAATTGAAAGAGTTTTTGGAGGATAATTTTAAAGATTGACTTTTTATTATACACACTATCTCATGTTTAAAGATTTTGCTAAAGACATTTCATTTAAATAAATATGAATATTAGAAATGAGTTTTGCTTGACAGTAAGTGGGAATTGTAGTCAAATTATTGTAAGAGAATACTGGACAGACAAATGCCAAAATAGGAAAGATTCTTGCAAAAAGAAATATACTATTTCACCAACCTAACCTACTTCATTTATTTGTGACCTCAACTTTATACTTCCTTTGTTGATATCAAATTCATAGCATTTTTCATCTGTCAATTCATTCATCTCAACAAATTCTAAACAAATTCTAAGGTAAGTTGATTTCTATGAATAAATGTTATTTATATGAATAATTTATGTTGATATTTTGTGGAAGGAAGGTGAAGTTCTTGTGAAAAATGAAGTTTGGTGTGGGAAGAAATGGTAAAGATGATAAAATTATCTGTGGGAAGCTTGACAGAGATGTGTGCAGACTCCCCGCACAGATAGCATATAATACAGCATATATATGTGATAATTTGCACATGTATATAGGTTTGAAATTGTCCACAAAAGTCCGAAGTACTTTCTTCATAAATACACCTTTTATGGAAGTGAAACTGATGACGGAATGGTTTGTAGAATAAACAGATTTTATTTTATTATTCTTTTTTCCTATTGCTTACCACTACAGATAGTATTTTGAGGTTATTTCACCTTATTTACTACGTTGATTAAGGTCAAAGAAAATTCCATCAAAATAGACAATTTGATATTGAAAAAATCATACATGGAAAGAAGTCCCACAAATCTTTCTCTACCTATGCAAAATAAATTCACTCCTATTCAGAATCTTCAAGGACGTCTTTTAGCGGTAATGGTATTTAATCTTATTTACAACAAGTTTTATATAT